CTTTTTTTCTTCCGTAAACAGGGAGTGAAAGTGTCGCAATATTCCATGAAACACGTACAAAGGAATAGAACTGACATTATGTATGTTCATAATCTTACTTTATTTCTTCCGTAAACAGGGAGTGAAAGTGTCGCAATATTCCATGAAACACGTACAAAGGAATAGAACTGACATTATGTATGTTCATAATCTTACTTTATTTCTTCCGTAAACAGGGAGTGAAAATGTCGCAATATTCCATGAAACATGTACAAAGGAATAGAACTGACGTTGTGTATGTTCATAATCTTGCTTTTTTTCTACCGTAAACAGGGAGTGAAAGTGTCGCAATATTCCATGAAACACGTACAAAGGAATAGAACTGACATTATGTATGTTCATAATCTTACTTTATTTCTTCCGTAAACAGGGAGTGAAAGTGTCGCAATATTCCATGAAACACGTACAAAGGAATAGAACTGACGTTGTGTATGTTCATAATCTTGCTTTTTGTCTATCGTAAACAGGGAGTAAAAGTGTCGCAATATTCCATGAAACACGTACAAAGGAATAGAACTGATAAATAATACCAAAATATAAACACGATAAAAGAGCGACTAAATACATATATTTACACAAAAGTTATTTGTTTGTTCCTTTATCCTTTCAATTTTGCACTATCGTTAAAAAACAGTTCGTAACGCTTGTTGAAAACAAGCATTTGTTTTATCAGTAAAATATGTTTTGTTTTTATTAATAGTTTATGGTTTGGGTTTCAATTTTCTTAGCCACCGTACCCAATAAAACAATTATAGACGCGTGCGATGATTACTCAGTGAAGCAATACGGTTATCCTGATTGTGCTGTATAACTTATGTGGTGGATTATTCAACAACGCAGTACGATTATCCTGATTGTGCTGTATGGACTTATGAGGTGGATTATTCAACAACGCAGTACGGTTATCCTGATTGTGCTGTATGGACTTATGTGGTGGATTATTCAACAACGCAGTACGATTATCCTGATTGTGCTGTATGGACTTATGAGGTGGATTATTCAACAACGCAGTACGATTATCCTGATTGTGCTGTATGGAC